TCTTGGGACTTTTAGTCACCATTAAACAATTAAGGATGAAGGCTATTATCCAATCGGCTTGATCAAATCACTTAAAAAAAACACCTTATCGACTTCATGTTAATTCTCAGAAATTTTAATTTGAAATTGTTTTCCTTTGGTTGATTACAAACTTATCATGATACAGAGACTTCTGGTACAGTTTCGTATCATTATTTGATGTGGATATGTTTTGATATTTATTACACCAGCGTTCATACAGCTGTCTATGTTCATCAAAGGGGTCTTATGCTACGGGAAAGTCAAGAACTACACAAATAATTAGAAAGTACCATGTATTATCCTGTGTTTACGTGGAGAGAGAGACACGTGATATGATTGTTGAGGCTGCCTTGTCCTGCGGAAAAGGGCTTCATAGATTTTTAAATGGCATCTAAAAACAATGTGAAGTGAAAATATATTTTTATTTCAGGCTTTGCGGGGTTTTCGAAGTAATAATATCAGGTGAAGATAATGACATTATTATTTTATTTTGTTTTAGAGGAGAAATGACTTCTGAAGCTTCTTATGTCAATTACGGAGTCTAATATCTACAGAATTGTTTCGTCGTATTTGAAATCATTATTTAGTATATCTGACATATGAACATATGATATTTGAGCTTTTGCTCAAATATCAGGTATTTGATATTTGGGTATTTGCTTCAATATTATAATGCTTGGTTATATATAGATATATATATAGAGATATATATATATATATATATTATATATATATATATATATATATATAATATATATATATATATATATATATGACGTGCATGGAATTCAAATAAAATTACAGGCTTCCAATATGCACCTCAATATGTTGCTTACTAGGTATAATATGTAACTTAATGTGAAGTTGTAACGTTTAGCACCAATGAGCAGTCATTTATAACAACTTACAGAGCAATTCCAGCAGCCTAATAGATCTCTCGGTTAATTCAAGAACATGAATAAGGTGATCTACCAGCTTATTAGGTCATGGGATAAGTACAACTGGATATGTGTTGAGTGAAGAACAGTATAAAGGGGGCCCAGATGCTACGGCGCAGCCCAAACCAAGGTTTTCAACATACATTTAAGAACAGGTAGATATCATCTTATGTTAAGGGTCAATATTTCTACAAGTCTTCCTCTCTCTCTTTGGGCAACTATAAGTCGAAAATATGGAGGAATTGTGTTTATTGCTCTTGATTATGGCCAGGCCACTCGTGTATGTCTACGATTAGCAGCTATTGTCATCAAAAATATGTACACTTTCCAAAATTTTCAATTATATCTAATAGCCTAGAATTTACTTCCCAGAGCAGAAATCTGAAAATGCATTAATAAACCCAACAGTTTACTATAATCACAGGGATTTTTGTATGTATGAAAACGGTGTGAAATTTACTTACAAATAGATGGAAGAAACAGAAGCGAATGTTTTACAGAGACTAGGTGAGCGGTGATGATTGGGCAATTGTTAATCCTTAGACAAGACATGTTCCTTGGTAACAGCCGACGGTCAGATGTCACCTGTTGATCAGATCACCGCCATTGTCCTTGTAGCAGCCAAGTAACTTATGCCAGCGAGGCAACAGACGACGCTGATAACATGATGAAAGAGGTGACTCGCTTCCCCAAGTGTAGCAAGGTGAAGGTGGCTGCTGACCTCCTGGTGACCCCTGGTGACCCCTCGTCTGGGGTCTTCTGTTCCTGTTGACATTGAAATCCCTCGTGAAGTGATGGTGTTAGTTCTTGAAAACATTAATGCACATTTCTTGATAATAAGGATATTTACATTGTTTCCTTATGATAAGCACAAATTATCGACAGTCAGAATAAATAAATAATAGTTTAACACTGATGCTTTCGTAAGTTTTAAGGACTAGTTGGTATTCCTCTGACTGGAACCTATGCCATTGGCCCATTGAAACAAATGAAAAGGATTTGTCAGTTCTCCAAATAAAGTAAATATAACATACACACACGGATTTACTCTATAACCCAACCCTTCCTACGGATAGACAGTACGTTTTAATACTAAACGTAAAAAGTACATTCCTGACTGTCTCCATAGTACATAAATACACTTAATTGTGCTGTTACATTTACTTCCCCATATATTCACCTCATTTTCTGTAAATACGCGCACAATTCTTAGGTTGAAGTTTTCGTGGTCAGGTAAGTTTTAAATATAAAGAATTTCTTTTTCAGTTTTATTAAACAATAGAGATTTCATAAAAAAATTGAAAATATCTTGAGTTACTTTATAATTTATTGAAAGACTTTAGTTTTGTTTTATTAGCTTTATAAAATTGTAATATCAATATAGCTATAGGTTAAGTACTCATTGTAATTAAGAAGCAATAAATGCTATTTACATGTGTGTCCTCCAACACTCCCAAGGTTAGGTTAAGTCGTGGTTTTCTATACAACTTTTCAGGTAAACTCTAATATTCACAATATTTTGATGCGATGCTGGCGATTAGTGTATTTATGTGAGGACCGGGCCGCGGGGACACTAAAGCCCCGAAATCATCTCAAGATAACCATACACCATAATCGTGTCAACTGTTAAAATAACTGCCATGAAAGGTATTTGAACATTAATCAAAGAAAGTGAAGTATCCCACTTTCTTAAACATGACGGATACTTCAACATATTTAAAAACTATTGAATTCACAACATGGTTTTAGTCATGGCCGCCCGTGTTTAATTCACTCTCGGTCTTAATTAGTATATTTCAAACAGTTGACAGAGGAGGAGAAGATTACGACATTCTTTATCTCGACTTAAAGCAAGAGTCTTTGATGGTGTGACTCACGAGAGATTCATTAGAACATTAGGGACTAGGGGGGGGGGAGGGGGTAATCCTAAATTGGATTAGGGTTTGTTGATTTCCAAGATCAGAGAGTTGGGGTAGATGAAATTAAGTAGAATTCTGAGCTTTGGAGATAATAAGAGTTGCCAGGTATCAACTACACAGTGTTGAAATTGCGAAATTTGGATGTAAAAAATACTTATGAGACCGTGAACTATGTGGCAGTGTCTACGGTGTATGTTGATTGTACTATGCGTCGGTGGACCGTGTAAATATGTACTGTGTAACTGTGACGGTGGATTGTGTGACGGTGTACAGTGAATTTGGGATTTCCTATCCCATAACTCATCTTAAACTTTGCCCTTCTAGTTTTCCCTGGAACACTACACGCCAATCTGTTTACAACCAGGTCCCCAATAACTGCTGGATAAAGAGAGGCGACACAGTTATGGATCCATGCTCAGTTTCAACAATTTTGTAGCTCTCGGGTACCTATTTACTGCTAGGCAAACAGGTGCATCAGGTGAAAGGAAACATTACCCAACCGCTTCCGTTTTTCCGCAGGAATTGAACCCGAGAACTTCTGGCTGTTTCTGACGAGACATTTCACGTGGTCTCCCATCCAGTGCTGACCTTAATTATAATTAGGGTCCCGGTAGTACAGTCGAATTCCGGGTTCGAATCCCGGGCAGGACAGAAATAGATGGGCACATTTCTTTTCACCTACTGCTTCTGTTCACCTAGCAGCAAGTAGGTAAGTAGTTGTGGGGTTGTATCCTGGGCGGTGTCAGTAATTCGACCATGATTGGGGGGGGGGGGGACGTAGATAAATGCCTAACGTGTATGAATACACACCTGGTCCGGGATGCTCCCGGACGCAGGTTCGAATCCTCGTCATGGCCCTTGTGGATTTGTTCATTTGAATACACTCTGGCTTCCTGTCCCCCGGCACTGAATTATATGAATGATAACATAACTGATCGTGAACACTGGCCTCGCCTCTAGTATCTAAGAGACTACAGGCTCTCCTTTACATACTGAGGAGGATTAATCATGCCATAAGTATATGAGGACCTATAGCCAAATTGCACATCAAAACATAAAAAGTACATGAACTAGGCACTCAGGTGCATCCAACAGGGACATTTGGAGACGCGTTTGGGCATTCGATGAAGATTGATGAAGATTAAGGCACCCAAAAGGTGGCACGGGCATGAATAGCCCGTAAGTGGTGGCCCTTATGAGCCATTACCAGTATCAATAGATGATACTGGAGATCTGTGGAGGTGCGACTGCACCCTACCTGACGGGAGATGTCTCCCGTGTTGAGCATGGGTTAAGAGACATTTAAACGTTTGGTGAGTTACCCCTAAATATTAACATCATAAAGAAAACGAATACCATTTTCTTTAACAGGCGTGTTTTGGTAAACTATTGAAACCTAAGACGCTTTCCCATACCTCACTATTTTCATTCCCCTCTCAACCCGCGGGTCTATCCATAGGCACAACTCAAAATGCTGATTGCCTACCCATCAAACAGCCGCTACATTTTCTCGTCTTCTTGAGACTACAGTGTGCCTAACTTCCGTGTCGGTGTCAACGTCTGTATGCAATACTGTAGTTAGTAGTTACACTGATAAGATAACACTGTATCTTGCAGAGAATACAGTACAACAACGTCGCTGGAAACTAATAACCAAGTGACGATGTTTCCACCCGACCTGGACTCCCTATTAACCCGTCCCGGACTCCCTATTAACCCGTCCTGGACTCCCTATTAACCCGTCCTGGACTCCCTATTAACACGTCCTGGACTCCCTATTAACCTGTCCTGGACTCCCTATTAACCCGTCCTGGACTCCCTATTAACCCGTCCTGGACTCCCTATTAACCTGTCCTGGACTCCCTATTAACCCGTCCTGGACTCCCTATTAACACGTCCTGGACTCCCTATTAACACGTCCTGGACTCCTTATTAAGCCTCATTTATTTAATATGAATTGGTTGGATAATTCATGTAATGTATCTTGGAACAAAGGATTATATGCCTGTAATTATATATTAATGAAAATGCATTGCCATGTAATTTTTTTTAAATAAAACAAATAACTCAAATTTCTTATTCTAAATTAATATGCAACTGAAGGCATAAGTAAAATATATGTTCATTAACAATAATGAACTCAACAACATTATATATATTCAATATTGTATTATGCAAACCTCTTCTAATTAGCTTAACACTCTCAGCTCTAGGCCATAATTATGATATATCTATAATTTGATGATAGTTAACAAGGTAATTAAGTAGTTTAGCGAACATACCTGGACACACAGCCGTCCTTAACTGTAGACCTAATGACAAAGGAGGAGTTGCAAGCTACTGTTAAAAAATAGTTAATCTTTAGACAAAATCATAAACACAGGAGACAGCTGTTATCAACACAATTTGGCCCAATTTGTTACAGATAACTCCAAGACTGAATTGACAGGTTAGGCAGTATTAAGAATCCATAAACTAACAAGCTAATTTGTATATTTTTTATCGACAGCCTCAGAAATAATTATGATTAACAAACTCAACAACACATAATGAACAATTAAATAAAACAACATAAGGAACTCTTAAATAAAAATTAAAGTTAAATAAATTACAAAGTGGCTCCATTAAACCAAGTATTAACAATCTACTAAAACAATAACAACACGACCACACAAACTCAAAACAATTGAAGAGTATCCAAAGGTTCTGCTGTTGTTCTCACCTCGTCCAGCTTCTCTCCTTCGGGGCCTCTTCCTCCTCGCTGGGCTCCACCTCGCCCTTGATCCGTAGCTGGTTGAGGATGCCCACTAGCAGGTCGTCACACTTGTGGTTCATGCCCACGCTGATCTCCATGAACTTGGCGCCGTAGCTGCACGCCAGGTCCCGTCCATCTGTCCGGGGATGACATGCTGTGTCAGGCAGGGGTTTGGCGGGGCCTGGGGCCAGATTCACGAAGCAGTTACGCAAGCACTTACGAACGTGTACGTCTTTTCTCAATCTTTGGCGGCTTTGTTTACAATTATTAAAGAGTTAATGAGCTCCGAAGCACCAGGAGGCTGTTTATAACAATAACAACAGTTGATTGGCAAGTTTTCATGCCTGTAAACTGTTTAATAAATGTAAACAAAGCCGTCAAAGATTGAAAAAAGATGTACACGTTCGTAAGTGCTTGCGTAACTGTTTCGTGAATCTGGCCTCTAGTCTTCACCAAACATATCCAGGAACTGAACAAATCTACAAGGGCCGTGACGAGGATTCGAAAATACGTCCGAGAGCGTCCCAGACGCTGCCTTAATCGACTGAGCTATATCTAGCAGCGTCTGGGATGCTCTCGGACGTAGGTTCGAATCCTCGTCACGGCCCTTGTGGATTTGTTCATTTGATACATCACGCTATTGTGCTTTCTGTGTGTAATACCCAGGGACTCGTTAAACACAGGCAAACAACAGCATGTTGACCAGACCACACACTAGAAGTTGAAGGGACGACGACGTTTCGTCGACTTGAGAATGGTCCAGGACGGACCGAAACGTCGTCGTCCTTTCAACTTCTAGTGTGTGGTCTGGTCAACATACTTCAGCCACGTTATTGTGACTCATCGCCTGCAAACAACAGCATACACACCTGGGTATACTTTGTATCACTAGAACAATACATCACAAGCACCCGCGCCATACACGTGGCCAAAACAACTCACCATCAACATTGACGGCCCGGGATCGAACCAGTTCACACTTGTTGGCGACGAGGATGACCGCTCGACCACGAAGGAGCTGATGCTGGTGGAGGGTGGAGAGTTCCTCTCCCGCCCGCTGGAAGGATGCCTTGTCGGTGATGCTGTACATGATGAGCCAGCCATCAGGAGGCACGGCCCGGCTCACCTCCTCCTGTCACCACACACACATTAATACACATATATACACTCTCGAAATATACATAAATACGACTCTTGAAATATACACAAATACACTCTCGAAATACACATAAATACACTCTTGAAATATACACAAATACACTCTCGAAATACACATAAATACAATCTCGAAATACATATAAATACACTCTCAAAATATACATAAATACACTCTCGAAATATACATAAATACACTCGAAATATACATAAATACACTCTCGAAATATACATAAATACACTCTCGAAATACACATAAATACACTCTCGAAATATACATAACTACACTCTCGAAATACACATAAATACACTCTCGAAATATACATAAATACACTCTCGAAATACACATAAATACACTCTTGAAATACATATAAATACACTCTCGAAATATACATAAATACACTCGAAATATACATAAATACACTCTCGAAATATACATAAATACACTCTCGAAATATACATAAATACACTCTCGAAATACACAAAAATACGACTCTTGAAATACACAAACTGTACCTATCACTGTGTTGTGTATTACATAAAGCCGCTAGTTACAGTTAATGGGAATAACTTATCAATTATTTAGTTTACAATTTATTGGAAATAACACTGTATATAATTCTGATGAAGGTATTATATACATCCGCTATGTGTGCTCATATTTACTAATAAATGCACAATGAATAGGACTTCCGATGTAGTTACATCTATACACACACTGGAACAAGACACACACACACACATACTGGAGCAAGACACCCCCCCACACACACACACACACACACACACATACTGGAGCAAGACCCCCCCCCCCCCCCACACACACACATACACACACACAGACACATACTGGAGCAAGACCCCCCCCCCCACACACACACACATACTGGAGCAAGACACCCCCCCCACACACACACACACACACACACATACTGGAGCAAGACACCCCCCCCCCCCACACACACACACACACACACACACACACACACACACACACACACACACAACTACTACTTTCTCTTTTAAACTACTTTTCAACTATTACTTTTTCTTTTAGCGTGAGAGTAGTGGGGAAATGGAATGCACTTCAGGAACAGGTTGTGGAAGCAAATACTATTCATAATTTTAAAACCAGGTATGGTAGGGAAATAGGACAGGAGTCATTGCTGTAAACAACCGATGCTCGAAAGGCGGGATCCAAGAGTCAATGCTCGATCCTGCAGACACAACTAGGTGAGTACAACTAGGTGAGTACACACACACACACACACACACACACACACACACACACACACACACACACACACACACACAGACGCTGGAACAAGAGACACACACACAGACACACTGGAACAAGACACACAGACGCTGGAACAAGACACACAGACGCTGGAACAAGACACACAGACGCTGGAACAAGACACACAGACACACAGACGCTGGAACAAGACACACAGACGCACTGGAACAAGACACACAGATGCTGGAACAAGAGAGACACACACACAGACACGCTGGAACAAGACACACAGACGCTGGAACAAGACACACAGACACACAGACGCTGGAACAAGACACACAGACACACTGGAACAAGACACACAGATGCTGGAACAAGAGAGACACACACACAGACACGCTGGAACAAGACACACAGACGCTGGAACAAGACACACAGACACACAGACGCTGGAACAAGACACACAGACACACTGGAACAAGACACACAGACGCTGGAACAAGACACACAGACGCTGGAACAAGACACACAGACGCTGGAACAAGACACACAGACACACTGGAACAAGACACACAGACGCTGGAACAAGACACACAGACGCTGGAACAAGACACACAGACACACTGGAACAAGACACACAGACGCTGGAACTAAACAACCCACCTGGAAGTCCTCTGGAGTGGTAACGTTGACGAAGACAATCTCAGACTCCTGGCTGTTCAACAGGATAGACACAGACTGCTCCTTCTCGTCAGCTGGGGGGAGAGAAAGTAGTTAATCTGGAGGATACTGGCCAGGTAATTTGCCTCACGTACACCTTAACATTAAAAGATAACACCCTGGTGTACACTTCAATGGGTGTACTGTACAGGAAGTATACTGTAGCGGAAGGATAATACACATTAAAAATACACCCACAAAGCGTGAAGTATACTGGAAATATACACATACATATACGCTGAAATACATGTGAAGAGCCTCATAAATACACACCTGCCAAAGCACAAAAAGCAGACTTAGCTGACAAGTATACATAGTGTCAACAAGCCAGAGAGCCCACCACACAGTGTCAACAAGGCAGAGAGCCCGCCACACAGTGTCAACATGGCAGAGAGCCCACCACACAGTGTCAACAAGGCAGAGAGCCCACCACACAGTGTCAACAAGCCAGAGAGCCCACCACACAGTGTCAACAAGGCAGAGAGCCCGCCATACAGTGTCAACAAGGCAGAGAGCCCACCACACAGTGTCAACAAGGCAGAGAGCCCACCACACAGTGTCAACAAGGCAGAGAGCCCACCACACAGTGTCAACAAGGCAGAGAGCCCACCACACAGTGTCAACAAGGCAGAGAGCCCACCACACAGTGTCAACAAGGCAGAGAGCCCACCACACAGTGTCAACAAGGCAGAGAGCCCACCATACAGTGTCAACAAGGCAGAGAGCCCACCATACAGTGTCAACAAGACAGAGAGCCCACCATACAGTGTCAACAAGGCAGAGAGCCCACCACACAGTGTCAACAAGGCAGAGAACCCACCATACAGTGTCAACAAGGCAGAGAGCCCACCATACAGTGTCAACAAGGCAGAGAGCCCACCATACAGTGTCAACAAGGCAGAGAGCCCACCATACAGTGTCAACAAGGCAGAGAGCCCACCATACAGTGTCAACAAGACAGAGAGCCCACCATACAGTGTCAACAAGGCAGAGAGCCCACCACACAGTGTCAACAAGGCAGAGAGCCCACCACACAGTGTCAACAAGGCAGAGAGCCCACCACACAGTGTCAACAAGGCAGAGAGCCCACCACACAGTGTCAACAAGGCAGAGAGTATCTTTCTTCACCCACCACTCTATCGCCTTTACTTACATAGTCCACGTTCATGTAGAGTAGTTTCCCCTTAAGAGTCAAGATGCATCAGCTGACCAGGACAGTGCCAACCATGAGAGGCACTATAGAGGCACTATAGAGGCACTATAGAGGCACTACAGAGGCTGTTATGCGTACAGTCCATTCATAAGACAGCGTGTTTATATGGGCGGGGACGGTTGTCAACGCAGGATATGCCAGCATCAATGGAATGGATGAACGTTCCACTCATAAATCACAATTGCGTGATGCATCAAATGAACAAATCCATCAAGGGCCGTGACGAGGATTCGAACCTGCGTCTGAGAGCATCCCAGACGCTACCCTGTCGTAGCTCAGTCGATTAAAGCAGCGTCTGGGATGCTCTCGGACGCAGGTTCGAATCCTCGTCACGGCACTTGTGGATTTGTTCATGAATGAACGTTATCCGGCCTCGGGAACATTCGGATTACACGTACACCCAGATAATATGATATGTCAAATAATTACATATAGCATATAACCTCTCGATAACACGTTATGCAATAAGTTAGATGACATAACACACATGGCAGAATGTTATGTTATCTATGTTAGTGTGTTATCTCCACCTGCGGAGGTGGAGATAAAGGTGAGAGTAAAGGAGAGTACGAAAGATGGAAGGAAAACCAATAGACAGGAGAGAAAATTAAGAATGTTTCCCATTGTTCTGCGTTCCACTCCCTCCAAACACTGGATCAGTTCCGGGGTCTACTGGGACCCTGGATTTGGAGAATATTACCCGAGGGCCGCTGTGACACCTTGCTCACAGGTGTCGCATAACTCAATCACTTCTCCCAGTCACTCATAGTCACTCCCCTACCCCTCTCTCACTCTCCCAGTCACTCCCCTACCCTTCGCTCACTCTCCCAGTCACTCCCCTACCCTTCTCCCACTCTCCCAGTCACTCCCCTACCCTTCTCTCACTCTCCCAGTCACTCCGCAACCCTTCTCCCACTCTCCCAGTCACTCCCCTACCCTTCTCCCACTCTCCCAGTCACTCCCCTACCCTTCTCCCACTCTCCCAGTCACTCCCCTACCCTTCTCCCACTCTCCCAGTCACTCCCCTACCCTTCTCCCACTCTCCCAGTCACTCCCCTACCCTTCTCCCACTTTCCCAGTCACTCCCCTACCCTTCTCCCACTCTCCCAGTCACTCCCCAACCTTCTCCCAGTCACTCAGTCACTCCCCAATCTTCTCCCACTCTCCCAGTCACTGCCAGTCACTCCCCAACCTTCTCCCAGTCATTCCCACTCACTTCCCTACCCTTCTCCCAGTCACTCCCCAACCCTTCTCCCAGTCACTCCCCAACCCTGAAGCTATGTACAGTGGACTACACACTGCTGGAGTGACCCAGCCTCAACATAGCAAATCAGTAAACACAAGCACCAATATTATGACCAATCAAAACAGTGCCTAATTAGTGTCCAATAAGTGCCCAAATAATACCCAATTAGCGTAAAATTAGCACCCAATTAATTTTCAATTAGCACCGCATACTCCAAGTAAATGGTTACATTCTTATGCTCTCTGACCAATTATATATTTTGATAATTGATTTTTTTTTCGTGTAAACGCTCTTTAAAAAATTACAAAAATATCCGCGAAAAAATTAAAAAAAAAAATGGATATACTTCAACCAGACAGGATAAAATATATTCCATGATAACCGATCAGGATTTTAAATTGATTAATGGAAGAGTTTTAATATATATAATTAATAATTGTATATAACTGTGCAAACATCAGTTATTGAAATCTTATATAGAGTCGTCGTTGTTATCAATGGTTTGATTTTTCTGGTTAGCTGCTTGGCTACCTGTTTGGTTGTTTATGTGGCCGGATGTCTAGCCGGCTGAATTGTTTATGTGGCCGGATGTCTAGCCGGCTGAATTGTTTATGTGGTCGGATGTCTAGCCGGCTGAATTGTTTATGTGGCCGGATGTCTAGCCGGCTGAATTGTTTATGTGGCCGGATGTCTAGTTGGCTGAATTGTTTATGTGGCCGGATGTCTAGCTGGCTGAATTGTTTATGTGGCCGGATGTCTAGCTGGCTGAATTGTTTATGTGGCCGGATGTCTAGCTGGCTGAATTGTTTATGTGGCCGGATGTCTAGCTGGCTGAATTGTTTATGTGGCCGGATGTCTAGCTGACTGAATTGTTTATGTGACCGGATGTCTAGCCGGCTGAATTGTTTATGTGACCGGATGTCTAGCCGGCTGAATTGTTTATGTGACCGGAAGTCTAGGTGGCTGAATTGTTTATGTGGCCGGATGTCTAGCTGACTGAATTGTTTATGTGGCCGGATGTCTAGCTGACTGAATTGTTTATGTGGCCGGATGCCTAGCTGGCTGAATTGTTTATGTGGCCGGATGCCTAGCTGGCTGAATTGTTTATGTGGCCGGATGTCTAGCTGGCTGAATTGTTTATGTATCCGGATGTCTAGCTGGCTGAATTGTTTATGTGGCCGGATGTCTAGCCGGCTGAATTGTTTATGTGGCCGGATGTCTAGCCGGCTGAATTGTTTATGTGGCCGGATGTCTAGCTGGCTGAATTGTTTATGTGGCCGGATGTCTAGCTGGCTGAATTGTTTATGTGACCGGATGCCTAGCCGGCTGAATTGTTTATGTGGCCGGATGTCTAGTTGGCTGAATTGTTTATGTGGCCGGATGTCTAGGTGGCTGAATTGTTTATGTGACCGGATGTCTAGCTGACTGAATTGTTTATGTGACCGGATGTCTAGCTGGCTGAATTGTTTATGTGGCCGGATGCCTAGCTGGCTGAATTGTTTATGTGACCGGATGTCTAGCTGGCTGAATTGTTTATGTGACCGGATGTCTAGCCGGCTGGTTGTTTATGTGACCGGATGTCTAGCTGACTGAATTGTTTATGTGGCCGGATGTCTAGCTGACTGAATTGTTTATGTGACCGGATGTCTAGCTGGCTGAATTGTTTATGTGACCGGATGCCTAGCCGGCTGGTTGTTTATCTGGCTAGATGTCTAGCGGGATAATATCGCAGGAGAGGAGGGGAGGGTGTGGCACTCATGCTTGGCAAGGCACCAACCAGAGTGCCGCCATAGCCCCCTGTGGTAAGGTCAACGGCCCGCTCTCACCCCCCCTGTGGACGTGCGGTCTAATGATGTAGTGTAAATGTTTCTCTTTCTCCTTCTGGCCTCTTTTTTAACAACCTCTTTGGCACACTTTCTATTTTCGTGCCTTTACCAGGCCGCTATCCTCTTTATTTTGCCTCTATGTAACTGTTTTACCGCTTGCGTTCACTCCGGTGACACAAACTCTTCGTCAGACGCGCGCTGACGTCTGGCCCAATTGAGATGATTATTATTATTATTAACATCTTTATTGACAAAATTAATTACAATTTTGCCTAATCTGAGGATTTTGATAGTCTTATTAAATTGAGGTTAATGCTAGTATTCACTGTCACGCAGGACAGAGGGTCATACATAAGACAATAGGTCTAAACTGTAGGCTGAAGCACATATATATCACGGTTACAATCAATGTTTTAATGTGTGGATATGTGAAAACAACTTTCTATTGTGCACTGATCAAAAGAGAGCTGATGACTACTGTCTTCAACAGTGTCGCCACCTGGCCCTGATTTGAGGATGTATATGGCCCATGCCAACGACGCGAGGATCGTGAGTTGACCAGTTCTGCTTTGTTTACGTGGCTGCGTCCGCGCTGCCCCTGTAGAGGTTGGTGGCACGATTTCAGCGCTTCGTTCTTATCTGTTAGATTAAGGTCCTGCAAGATACGCTATGCGTGCTGGTGGCGGGAATGTTGAGGTCGGGCCTAAAGGCGCCAGTGTGACGGCTCGTCTACTGGGAATTAATGACGCG